TTATTTACCTTACCATCAAAATACAAAGGCAGCAAACACAGAAATGTGAAATAATGCTAACTTGGTACAGCCTAACAAAGTATTTCCGTCTGCCTTCTGTCCATGGGCCTTACTATTAAAAAATGTATGAAAAGTATTGTCCCGAATCCTGCACTACTCTTTTATAAAGCCGTGACAAACTAAGCTTTAAGCTCTTGTGATGTTTAATTTTATGCCTTTAACATTGCTTGAATAGTTTTTTCCTTCTATTTAGTACTCTTGAAAAAAACCCCTTTATATGATGTTGGCTTCCATGCCGTTCAAGTACATTAAGCTTTGTAAAGCTAAATTCAAGATAAGAAGAGAACAAGAGCAGGCAGATCACTGCGCTCTAGTAAATTCACAGGTGTGCGCTGGCTTGTGTTTTTCAAATCTTGTTTGTCTCTGTCTTAAGCTCCTCCGAGCATGCCACCAAGTTTCATTTGGACTTTCAAAAATATTGGAATCCACGTAAAATTTCTAATTTGCCATGGGATTTACTTTAAAGAAGGAGGGGGGGAGAAGCAGCAAATAAGTGAATTCCATGGTCGTCTTTTCCAGAAAAAACTGTCTTCTCTGAACTGCTTCCAAAACCAGGGCAAGCCAAAAAAAGGGGTGGGGAAGGGGTTTCACATTACATGAAAAACCCTTCTTCTTCACTGAAAGAAAATATACTGGATACAAAATCTCCCTAAACTACTGATGCTCAACTCCATCTTGCTCTACAATTTCACGATTGTAACTTATCTTCCTCTCTCTTTCAGCATAAAATGAAATATTCCTTGGAAGTCGAAAACACACTGATTATTGGACTAAGTGACACTTCTTTTAGTCCCCAGCAGCAAGGGCTCAGGTAGAATGGTCCTAGCCTTCACTACTCTTCTCAATTTCTAGTTTAACTCCTATAGTAAGGCAAGTGTTGTTTTAGATTAGTTGATAGACACTATACAATTAGTGGTTTTGGCAGCTGAAAATACTGAATGTTTAGAGTATTTGGATCACTTGCATAGTCCTTTATGCAGCTAGTAAACGCTGCACCTAAGAGTGACACAACGCCTAGCAGCAACACTTTGATTTAGTTTTTTATTGAGACAGAGAATTACTGTTCTGTACTATTAGCAGACCAGGAAGACAGCAAAGCACTAATATTTAGATCACAGGCCTTCTTGCTTTTTTCAAGGAACCATTTTTACGTACTGAAAGGAGATGAGAGTTACATAATTATTTCTTAAGACATTAACACTTTGATGGCAACGCAGCCTTCAGGCATTTATTGGCACAGGAGAGTCCCACTTTAACAGAATAACTGCTATGTGCAAGGGTTATTAATTGCAAGTGCATTTTATTAAGGTATTCTATTTGACTTGACATGCCAGCAGACAAAAGCTTTTCCCACAATCTAGGAAAGTGGGTATATATACAGATTTGTATATATACCAGAGAGAAAAAGAGAGATACAGCATATGCTGTGCATTCTTAAATACCTACTGGACTTGAAGGATAGTAGAAACTATTCTGACTGGAGAAATCTAAAACACAGCTGTGTTCCTCCTTTAGAAAAGCTGCCTACCTGGGCCAATTTTACCTCATTGTCAATCCACGGGTCTGTCAAACAGCAGCCAGGTCTTGACTGTTGATTATTAAGAATTTCTAAGTTAACAACGAGACTCACTGTGCCTTGATCTTTACTGTAACTCAACTCCAGATGACTATGGTCCCAAAAGGTACACCTCTTACTGGGGGTCTAGAGTAATTGAACCTTTAGCCACAGGGAAACTCATAGCAACAGGTACATTCTGAATTTTGGGGGCAAATTTTTATGGGGTGCAGCATGTTTTAAATATCCATTAACAGTTTGAGTTTGCAAAGCCCACATCCATTAGCTTGTGGTGAGCTTTGGGATGAGCAAGGTTTAAGAAAGGTGAATACTGACTTTGGACTTACAGAGTAAACTGAATGTCTCATTAGGAGATAAATACTTATTTGAATTAGCAGTGCTAATTTACAGGAAAAATAGGATCTTCCATGTATCTCTTTTCCAGAAAAAAAACCCCAAACAAAACCAGTCTTTGACTAGATTAAAAAAATCCCTGTTAGTAAGGTTGAAGAATGTACTGATAGCTCTACTCATCTAAGACTCTTACACCTGGACAGACAGCACAATAGTATGTGCAGTTATCTTTTGTCTGTAAATTGACTCCTACATCCTTGAGCCTCTGTTGCTCAATGTAGCATCAAAGCTTACAAATCACAGACACATCCAAATCATGTAATCTGTTGCAAGAATAAGGGGGGGAAAGACATTCTGGGACATAGAGCTTTTACCCAATTTCAGAAAAATTGCTAGCTCTAGCAGCTGACCTAGACAACTTCTATTTCAAGCTACTTTAATGTCAGAATAAGCAATTTTTGCCTTTGCCCGTTTTCAGTAACAGTAACAATGGTCAACAAATCATGTGCAATTATTTTGAAACAAGATCTGATTAGAGAAACTGGTGCCAAGTTAGTTATGAGCATCAGTGGGCATTTGTGATGCAACCACTTGTGCTAACGCTGAATTTGATCTTATGTCTGTCTTGTCTGTAGAGGGGACTATTTTTACCTCAAGCTTTTTACCAGGCGGGGAGTTCTGAGAATCTTAAGATTTCTGCTTTCTGTAGAGCAAGGTGTTGCTTTTTCTTCCTTACAATTATTTCTGAACCTTTTCCAGAAGTAGCCTGGTTTTGTGCTTAGCTAAGTGATTTTTTATGCCAGAAGTTTTCAGCAAAACCCTCAAGGAGTTTAAGAGTTTAGGCAGGTTCCCCTGTGACTATAAGACAGATATTTTCTCCTACAATTATTAGATTCTTTAGCCTTTCATGTTGAGGGAGAAGAGGAGAGGAAAGATAAGAAAATAAATACTTGCCAGTCTAGGAGTAATTTTTCCTTGTCCCTTCCTAATCACATGTCCTCAGTTTCCCTGGACTCTTCCTCCCATAACACTTTTGTTGAATAAACAGAATGTTCCTTTGGGAAGAGCTGCTTCAGTTGACAGGTGAGTGAGAAGGGGAAGAAAAGAAATATGCCTGTTGATCAAAGACCTACCATCCTGTCAACTTCCAAGGAATAAGGCATTTTGGGCTGAAGAAACAATGCTGGGGAGAGACCAGGGATTCCTGCAGGAGTGAGAAACCCTTCTTTTCAGTCTGTTTGATAAGCAGTGTGAATACTAACCCCAGCTTCACAAAACACACATTTAATTCTGAAACAGAGAACACCTAATTAAAAAAAAAACACAAAAGTGGAACATGATATTTATTAACTTTTAGATGCAGTTAGGCCAGCTATATGAGCTCAGATCACAGTTTATTCCTTATTCTCAGCATTCTCTCTCCTCTACTTTTTCAAAAAAGAAACAATGATGTAGATGATCAGCAAGATGTGTGATACTCCATCCCATTCTATGGGTTTCCAAAAGAGGGATGAATAGGGCAAGTTAAGCTGTATACAGCAAGATATGTAACACTACAGTCTGAAGTCACTGTTCAGGGTGTTGTGCATCAGTGGGAAGAGAAAGCCCATGCACGTTCCAATAGTTACGCCTCCCTACGTATACTTTATCTCCCTCTCCTGATGTACTTGCAGGAGAGGTAGTAGCATGTGTTCCAGGTCTCTCCTTTTTTAGATTTGAGAATAGCTGACTTGTGACTTCCCTGTACACCATTACAATTACGGAAGAGACAGTATCTTATTTAAATGCATTGGAAGGTGTCTGTAACTTTTGCTGGTGCCAGTGCCAGGTGGAGGAAGATTGAACAGTTTTCCCACCACCTGTGATTGCAGCCAGAGGATTTATTAGCAAATTAGATTTGCTAATAAGGTCAAGGAAGCCAAAATGCAGGGGTGGCAAGGGTGTGGGATTCTTGGCAAATGGCATAAAAAAATAGAAATAAAGGGAGTTCAAAGACAGGAGGACAAATACATAGAGGTGGGAAAAAGGGAAGATAAAACCAGAAGAAAATAAAGTGAATTGGGGGAGAAGACAGACAAACTGAAACCAACAGAAAACAAGGTGTTTGAAAAAAATGGTTACAACAGGCAACTGTGTGTTCTGAAAATGTCATCGTTATCTTTTACAAGTTAAAATACATGGAAAGAGGAGATGTCACTTTTTTCTACATGCTGCTGCTGTTTCCTGATTTTGGCTAATTGTCTCCAGCCCCCTCTTTTTCCCACCCCTCCATTCTTTTTCCTCCAAAAGCAAAAAAACCCACAAAATAACATTTCTCAACTCGTTCTACACTACTAAGATACCAGCTGTTTCCTGTACTTAGTATATCAAATAACAGGA